TCCTTCATTGTTTAGAAGGGGAAGTTCATGGTGAATGGTGATGATCCTAATGATCTGTTTGTTCTTCCTGATGATTTACAGTGTTCTTTTTGGTTAAATTAAGTAATTTATTTTCGGAAAGCATGTTTCACGGCTAGTTCTCATCTGTAAACCGGTTTTGTGTGTATAACTGGATTCATGGTTGTAAACACTAATTTTTTCATTTTGTTTTATTATTATTATTATTAATATTAATTATATATTATTATTATTATTAAATAAATAAATAAATTACAAGACCTGGAGGCCCATTTTACAACCAGAACTGGCCCGTTTACAACACATTCCCAATAGAAGCCAATCTGGCCCAACAGAAGCCAATCCAGACCCAATCAGATGGCCCAGTATAACCCTAAACTAATAGGGTTTCTTTCATCTCATCCCAACCGCCGCAGATCCTCAATCGTTGGATCTAATCTGATCCAACGACCCTGATGCAATCCATTAAATAAACCCTAGGGTATCATAACTCTACCGACACTCCCACTGCCAGGTGACCCAATCCGCTGCAACCACAACGTCGTCGCCTCGATGAAACCTCCAAAAGAGCCAGCTGCCCCCCACGTCGAGTTATATGGTGAGTCACCGCCATAGCTTGGTGACTCACCGAGAAACCTCCCTGGGACCGGTCCAAAGGTAGCTCAATGATGGCCTATAAATATGGCCACCGAACTTGCAAAAAGGAGGACCATCAACAGCAACCAACAGCCACGGAGAACACGGGAAAAAAAACAACAAAAAAATAGAAACCAAGAGAGAACGAGAGTAACCACAGCAACAAACAGAAAAGAAAGAGAGAAGAAACAGAGAAAACTTACCACCGAGGAAGCTACACCGTCGTCAGAGCCTCCACACGCCGTCAAAGAAATTGAAATACGTGGGTATTTCTGTAGATCTAGGTAATTTTGGGGTTGTTTAAGGGAAAACGAGGTCGGATTCATCCTTAAGACGGCGGGATCTATATTTTAGGGTATTTTGGGAGTTCCGACCACCGTGAGCGGTGGCCGGCAGTGGTGATCGGCACCGGAACTTTACCGCCGGCCTCCGGTGGGAGGTTTTAGAGAGAAGGCAGAGAGAAGCTGAAAATGAAAATGAAAGGAAATGGCCATTTTGGGTTGGCTGTAGGGTTTAAATACCCTCCCGTACGGCGTCGTTTTGGGGGGTATTTGTGTAAATTCCTACATGGTCAAACCACACGCGCAGTCCCTCTGCGTTTTGTAAATTTCCATTTTAGTCACTGAAGTTGAATTCTGAACCTTTTAATTTGGTCTCATAATTTTTCTTTTATTTTATTTTAGTCCCTGTTAATATTTAGTAAATATTTAGGATAAATACTAGATTTAGTCCCTTTAATTTAATTAATTTTTATTTTAATCCTGATTAAATATATATGGTTAAATTACATTGTTAATTATTATATTTCATAATATTTTGAATTAGAGCCTTTAACTTAGATATTTTGTATTTTAATCATTGATATTCTAATTACTTTCATTTTTGACCATTCATTTTATTATTTTACGATTTAATTCCACAGTTTTAAATTATTTTTATTTTAGTCATTATTTAATATAATTTTATTCTATTTCTATTTTGTCATTTATTTTTTAATATGTTTAAATTAGTACTTTATTTATCTATTTGTTATTATTTATATTTTATTCACTAATATTTATATGAAATACCATATAATAATTTCATAATATTTATTTTTAATATTAAGAAAGCGCAGTCTTAAAGCAACTGGATATCCATTTTTTGATATTTTTAATAAATAAATATTTTAATTTTATAAATTATATATATATATATATATATATATATATATATATTTAATGTTTTATATTTATTTATTTTTTAATATTAAGAAATGGGTTGTCTTAAAGCACCTAGAAGTCATTTTCTGATATTTCTAAGTAAATAAATATTTTATTTATAAAAATAAAAAATATATATTAATATATTTTCTTAAAATTATAGTAATAAATTTGAAATAAATAGGATTATAAATTAAATATATCTTTGAATTTTGAAATTTCTAATAATAGAGACAATTTATAATTAATGAGTACTAATTTTGGGCGTTGTGGGTGTGTTAATCCTTCCCCCAAACGTAATCGACCACGAATCCCTTTTATTATTAAAAAGAACGAATTTTTCGTTAAAACTCATACTATTTTATCTTTTAACTGATGATTTCTTAAAAATTCTTTTAAAAGATAATATTTAGGTATTCGACCTACCTGACCCAAAAGGCCGATGGCGACTCCCAAAACATTTTTAAAAAAAACATTTATCCATATTATTTTCCTGCCAAGTAAAAATTCGTGCCCAGACAAAATCCGGTTACGACAATGGTATTTCTGCTTAGCTTAAGTATTTTTAATAGGAGTAAACTTGTTATAGATTACAATCAAGTTCCAGATTCCTCATGGTTGTGAAGTTGCACAATTGATTGTGAACCTTGTTACACATCTGGGACTGAAAGTTGAAGAATTTGGCGGTGGTTCAGATGTGCTATTGCGCGCATGGGACAGGTTGTGAATGATAAATTTCCTTTTAAACCTAACCTAAAGCTGCACTTATGTTGGCCTTAAAATCATGTGAAGTTCCAATCTTTTTATTGTTTTCAGTTCACTTGCCTGGCACATGACGCTTAAACCACTGGAGAAACAGAAGGAAACTGGAATAAATGAGGGGCATTCGCATAGGAGTAGAGACGAAGGGGATTTATGCATCCTCATTTTCCGTTCACTGATAAGCTCCGACAAAGCGGTTGATCTTAGTTCCTTACAGCTTCTTAAAATATTTTAGTATAAGATTGCATTATTTTCTTTATATTTCACAGAGAAACTGTTTAACCATTCAAATTATTATAGGAAATCGAGTTTATAAAGCAAGGAAGTTTGAATCAGAAGGAGCTTGATGCCTTTGTTTCTGCCTTAGAACTCGCTGGTCGAAAGATTGCACAAAGTAGCTCTCTGGTAAACAAACCAAGGGACGGATCTTTACAGACGCCTGCACAACAATCAACCTCTAGCCTGAGGGCCATGGTAGTAAGAATTTACGGGCTTGATATGCCACATCAGAATAAACCATACAGTGAGATATCATGGGGCAATATTGCTGGATATGATCAACAAAAACGGTATGTAAAAGACTTGATAGACTCTGATTTTCCATCTTCGGTCAAACAGAGATAATGCAGAGCTGTGCTCTTTTTTCAGAGACATAGAAGATGCAATTTTGCTGGCTCTAACTAGCCCTCAAATATATGATGATATTGCACGTGGGACTCGCCAAAATTTTGAGACAAATAGACCCAGAGTGGTGCTCTTTGAAGGATATCCCGGTTTGCTTTTCAACCAGAAAGAAATATTGATTCATGTTCCTGGAAATGCAATTTTGAACTGATTCATTTATATCAAAATTTTACATATTGCAGGTACAGGGAAGACATCTTGTGCTCATGTTATTGCTAATTATGCGGTGAGCAGCAAGTTTCTTATCTAGAACATTGATGACGAAAACACACATTTTTAGTTGAATGTTAAAATAGTTTTTGTTGCTTAGTATAGCATACTTTGTTCTTTGTAGAATAAGTTGTACAAATATGGTTTCTGTATGAGATTATTTTATTCAAATATGTAATGATATGAGGCATGTCCATGCTTTGCAGGGTGTCCCACTGCTCTATGTGCCACCAGAGATTGCCATGTCAAAGTACCCTGGTGGAACTGCACGGATACTTGGGCGAGTCTCTTGCCAATCAGCTCCCCAATGGTGCTATCATATTTTTAGATGAAGCAAGTAGTGATTAATCAACAAAGCTTTCCCGTTTATACATGGGCCACTAGTTTCCTTGCGTTCACTATCATCAATTTGCATTTCATTTGTTTTAGATTGTTGAGAAGACGGCTTGTATTTCAGGTTGATTCTTTTGCCACTGCTCGTGGTGGTGAAATTCATGAACCTATGTGTCAGATTTTGTCAATGCTTTTGCGGCAGGTTAAAGTGGATTGTTGAGTGGTGTTGGTTTCTAATGAAAATGCACCTCTCAGCTTGCATGTTCATGAACTTTTGATTATGCCTTTATGCAGCATGAGTATCATTAATCACGTTTTCTGGATGCCGAAATAACGATGCTGTTATGGTGCCATTGATGAAAATGTATTATCGTTGTTACAGATTGATGTATTTGAACAAAAAAGAAAATGGTTGTCATTGCTTCAACAAACACAAAACAAGATCTTGATCCAGCATTGATTAAGTAGGTACTCATAGATGCAGTCCCGGTCCCTTTTGGAGTGACTAATCTGATGAAATGTTTCTGTATCGCACATTCGTGTTTGCACTTTGCAGTCGCTTTGACTCAGTCATTGTGTTTGATCTACCTGATGAGCACAACCGGCAGGCAATAGCAGCTCAGTATGCAAAGCACCTTACAGAATCAGAGTTAGCTGAGCTTGCTGAGTAAGTCCAACATTTTGGGATCTTAATTTCTCGGACTGCATTATGTATGTTTTGTTCTATATGCATCATTTAAATCATAACCCAGGATTACCATTCGAAATATCCAGAATGTCTGGTAGGGATATCCGGGATGCATGCCGACAAGCTGAGCGATCATGGGCATCAAAGGTGAGTTATCCAACCCCAAGTATCAAACATGTTTTGATATATAATAAATACCGTTAGTTTTTACCATTTAGATTCATTCATGGCTTTCGGCAGCTGATTCGAGAGCAGGCAGAGAACGACAAAGAACAACCATCTCTCCCACCTTTGGAGGAATACATAAAAAGTGCCATGGACCGAAGAAAGGCTCTACTCAGTGCGGCGGAGCAGAAAGACCAAAACCATGGCCCTCATTCAAAGAAACCTCAGTTATCTTCGCAACCAACAGCAGCAGTCTAGGTGGATTATGTTGAGAGAAACATGGTAATTATCTGCCATCTGCATTTAGTCCCATGTTCATAGGTTTTTCATTTAATATAATTATGGTTACATTACAAAGAGATATAGATCACAGATTTATTGTCACCACCAACTTTGATAATAGATAAACCAAAGAGTAGTCTATTAATTTTAGCGAAACTTCAGAAGATTAAGTTACACTGCAACAAGCTCATCAGCGAAGCTCCTTGTCTGCATTAAGAAAAATAAGGTCTAATTATGATTTTAGGATTTAATCCCTTGTATTTGGAATAATTTGATTATTTGCTTTTAATACAACTACTAATGCATCCAAATTGATAATGTCGACGGTTGTTATTGTTACTAACAGTAGAGAAATCAAATTATATCAAAATATTGAATTCCAAACTAGTAGAGGAACTATCGCAGAAATTAGACCAATAAAATGTAGGGAAAAGCTAACTGACGGAGTAGTACCTTGACTCGTCATCTCCTCCACGCTTCCTTTTCCTGTTATCTCCATCTCCAGCGACAAACGAAGCGATCCTGGACTGAGTCCACAACATCATCCGACTCAACTCCGCCTCCGATTCCACCCTTCGTTTCTCCGCCTCACACCTCGAGGCTTCCATTGCCTTGACCATCTCCATCCTGGCCAGCTCCATCCTGAGAATCGAATCAGAGAACACCCGAAGATTCGTGGGAAGATCAGTCAACGGAGTGGAATCACATTCCGAGTTGCAGTCGTCGGAATCAGAACCGGGCAGTGGATCGTTGGAATCTTCTTCATCGAGGTTTGGAGTGTCGGAAGGGTGTGCGTCGGAGGAAACCCCAGCATCGCAAGGGTATTTTAGAGAATTATCGTCTTTTGGTTGGCCTGGGGCATTCGGGTCTGCCATTAGCGCTCCTCGCCGAGGACAGTATCAGAATATGAGTAAAGAGGATAAGAGTTTATTGCGTTTATTGGTCCAGTGGTCGGTAAAATGAGACAAAAAAGATGGTGCCAGTGTCATATCATCGTTTGTCCCTTAATAGGGTCCCACCATTAAGCATGATATATGCTCAAACTGTATTTTCCGTCCCTCTATTATGCTCAAATTTGATATTTGGTCATTATATTTTTCTAAGAAAATGAAGCTTTGATTGATGGAAGTTAGAGGGGCGAGTAAAACTTGATTTGAAAAAAAAAATTGTTGAATTTTGGGTTATTTGAATTGAATTATTCAAGTTATACCGAATTATAAAGTCAATTTTTGAGTTCAAATTGAGTTAGAATTTGAAAATTTTAAGTCACTGAAAAACTTAGTTGAATATTTTGTCAGTTTTTCGATTTGATCCTTGATTTTCTCGTTCTTGTAATTCCTCTTTCATTGTAAGTATTTTTTTTTATTAAATTTGAACTATCTGCTCCTAAATCATGGTAGAATATCTATGTATCTTCAATTCCTCTTTTTTATAATTTTTTATTTTTTAATTTAATTCTTCAACTTTGTATGGTTTCTTCATTCCTTCGACTCCTGTTTCATTTTAAGTTTATGTATCAAATTTAACTCGATTCTCCTAAATTATTGTAGAATACACATGTATCTTCAATTCCACTTTTTTTATTTTTTCAATTCAATCCCTCAACTTTGTATTATTTCATCATTTCTTTAATTCACCATTTATTTTAAGTTTATTTGTGACCAAATTATGTCAAATCAAAGTATAGGGATTAAATTTTAAACTTAAATATAGTCAAAGGATCAAAACTATAGTTTGACCTTAATTCAAATGCGTATAACTCGTTTTGTAACCATAGAAAAAGGAGTCAAAAGATTTGAAGTTGGGTTTGGTTGTTGATGGATGTTTACCATTTTAATCCAAACCCAAACCATGGAACAGGCTGAGGAGATTCGCTGCATGTAAGAAAGTGATAAAATATTTCCATTCCAATTGTTTGCTTCCTTTCTTTCTCCTACTTTTACATGACAACCATATCTATTCTGCGTTGGATTTAATTCTGATATACCACCATAACTCAAAGAGTGGTTTCAGTTGGCATAAAATGATAAGTTCTCTTTTGATGATTCGGGTTCAAATAGTATTGTCTGTAAAGTATACATGACATTTCTCCAAGCATAAAAAAATATATACTACAATACAATCATAACAAAAAATTTCAAAAAAAAGTATGTGTAATGATCCTTGTCGAGATGATCTTTAAATGATAACGGAATAAAACTTTAGACACTTTAAATGATAACGGAATATACTTTTGGTACTTACTTTGTTAAAAAAAAAAACTTTAGACACCTAAAACAAACAAGAAATATAGTATGAACATTTATTTTTCAATTAAACCAAATACAAAAGATACAATAAGCACTTTTTGATGTCGTTTATGTCATTTTTATTGCTCATGTTGAGAGTTAAGAACTACTTTCTTAATAATATTATCTTTAAAATTTAAGTTGTCTCAAATGTAATAAAACTTATTACAACATCCAATATTTATTTATACCATAAAGTCTAATAAATAAAGATGCATAGCAATAGCATGCATGTAAGTAAGCATCTAATTCTTAAGACCAATATTTGAAGGTGGCATGATGCCCTGGTGGGTGACGAGGGGCTCCATTGATTGCGGGTTTTAAGATGTCGGGTAAAGCTTATACTCTCCCGTTACAAAAGGATTTATGCATCTAACCCACTTGAGAAGCCAGTTGATGCATGCGGCCCTCGTGCTTTGCTTTGGTGTTCTCATGCCACTCAGTAAATGACCATTGATTTAGGGCATATATGGCTGTCATGTCATCAAACCAATTTGAAGAAGAAAAAAAGCCAATAATGGAATAGCCGATAAGTTTAGGCAACTGCTAATGGAAATCAGAGTTTGAGAATTAAACGGACCTTACCCCCAACTTTTTTTTTTAAATAAACGGCCGATTTTATTGAAATTAAATGAACACCTTTTCCTATACTGTGCATCAATTTCTATCGGTAAATTAATTGCATTAAACAAACAAAATCGTAACTTTACTAAACTAAAAAACCATTCCCGGCCATTCGTCTCCTCACTTTCTTCTCTTTCTTTCTTTGAACGCACAAATGCTTGAAGTTAAGTCTTGATGTATCGATCCTTCTACTATGCTCTTCCTTCAATCGGATCTATGGTGGGTCAGTCCACCTTCTGTCCTCCGCTGCCTGCCTCGCCGTATTTTTCAGTGCCTCCTCTACCCAGTATGTGTCGTTATCTCCAATAGATTTGTTTATGGCCAACAAATGAGTTGCCTTATTTCCTTTTCTTTGCACGAATTTGTACTCACATAGGTTGAAACCCTTTGCTAGTTGTTGGGCTTCCTAAATGAGTGCACTTATTTCAGAATAATCGGGTTTGGATGTGGTTAGCTTCTTCATTACCGATCTTGAATCCCCTTCCAGAATCACTCGTCTGAAGCCTGATTCGAGTGCTAGTTGGAGCGCAAACCCTACTGCGGTGGCCTCTGCTGCAAATGTTAATCGTACTCTCAAGGTATGTTTCATGCATACCCCTAATTTGAATCCATTCTCATTTCGTATAATCACACCCGACCTTGCTTCCTGTTTTGATTGAATGAAGCTTAAGTCGAAATTGATCTTTGCTATACCTTCTGGTGGCAGCCTCCATCTCACAACACTTGCTCGCACAGGTTCATGGATTAGATTGTTGGCTATGATAAATTGCCGGCAATGACATTGAATGAATATGATGGTTTCTTTTGCTTGAAAGGTCTTCCTTTCATTCACTCTTTTGTTTCGTGCATACCATAAGGCCCATATGGTTACTAATGCTTCACTGTATTTGTAGATGGGACATTGGCAAACAACCAACTAAGCCATTTTTTAAAATTCCAGTTCAAACTCTGCATTGGCCACTCGTAAGCTAACTTTTGCCAGACTGACAATGCTAGCGTGCAGTCCTTGATAATCTGTAGTCCTTTTTCAACTTGATTCAGGCACAAATTGTAATATGGTTCGTTTGTAACATGTTTGTGAAATAGCATCTGTTTTGTTAGGGCATAGTCATTGCATAACTTCCATACCTGATTTTTTATCTTTCTTTGGCATTCTATGGACCACAGCTTCTTGTACATGTTTGTGTATGGATCCTAAATATCGTCATTTTGCTTTAGTAGTTTATATCCACTACGAACGGAGTATTCACCTAAATGTTCTCCACCCCAGACTTGTATGTCATTTTGTTCAAATCTCGAGATTGGGATGGATTTAATCAATTTAGTTTCTTCGGTTATGAACACTTCATTTATGGTCTCCACTCGCCATTCCCTGGTGTCGTTGTCAATTAGTTCAGTTACTCTCTCAATTTCATCTCTTCTTCGTGAACCAATGAGTTTTGGTTTATCTTCTGGTAACCAGGAATCACTCCATATTGAAATATTCATTACATTGCCCACTTTCCATCTTAATCCCTTTTCCAGTAAACCTCTTGCACTCCATATGATGTGCCATATATATGATGGATAGTTTCCCAGATTCGCTCTTAGGAAACTCGAGGCAGGAAAGTACTTTGCTCGTAACATAATGCTTACTAATGAAGTCGGGTTGTTTAGAATTCTCCAACCTTGCTTAGCTAATATGGCGATGTTAAACTTCGCTAGATCTCAAATTCCCATTCCTCCCTCTTATTTCATTTTACTTAGTTTATACCAAGATACCTAATGGATGCCTTTTTTTTCTTATCTAATTTTTACCACCAGAATTGGTTCATCAATTTTTCCAGTTCTTCACAGATTGATTTTGGTAATAAGAACCAGTTCATTGCAAATAGAGGTAGCGCCTGCAATACTGATTTTATAAAAACCTTATTTCTTCCGTGGGATAGTGTTCTCGTACTCCAAGAGTTCATTCCTGCCCACATATGTTCTTTCATTGAGATGAATGTCTGTCTCTTTCTTCTACCAATCAGTGAAGGTAAACCTAAATATTTCTTTGGGTTTGTCTCATTTTCTACTTCCAGGATTCGTTGAACATCGCCTCGATTTGAATCAATAACATTTGAACTAAATAACAAACCAGATTTTTCAAAATTAATTCTCTGGCCGGAACTACTTCCATAAGTTCGTAAGATCTCCTTTAAATCACTTGCTGTTTTTGTCATGGCTTCCCCAAAGATTAAGCAGTCATCAGCAAAAAGTAAGTGTGTGATTGTAGGGTCATACTTGTTATTTTTACTCACTTTAATGAGCTCAATGCCTCCGCTCGTCTTAGTAGGGATGAGAACCCTTAACTGCTTATTAGGAACAGGTACGGACTTGGTGGATCTCTCTGTCGAATGTCTATTTGGGGTTTAAAAGCTTTTCTAGCTTGGCCGTTTGTAATTACTGAATAAGATACTTTACTCACTTTAATGAGCTCAATGCCTCCGCTCGTCTTAGTAGGGATGAGAACCCTTAACTGCTTATTAGGAACAGGTACGGACTTGGTGGATCTCTCTGTCGAATGTCTATTTGGGGTTTAAAAGCTTTTCTAGCTTGGCCGTTTATAATTACTGAATAAGATACTATAGAAACACACCGTGCAATAATCCTTATCCAGTTGCTTTCAAACCCTGGCTTTTCCATCATTTGCCATAGGTATGGCCATTCCACTCTGTCATACGCCTTACTCATGTCCAATTTCAAAGCAAAATATCCTTTTTTTCCCTTCTCTCTTTTGGATAAAAGAGTGTAGAAGTTCGTACGCCATAATGATGTTATCTGTAATCAATATCCCTGGGACGAAAGCACTTTGAGCTTCGTTGATACACAGATGTAGATGTTCTTGCATTCTCTAAACCAATACTTTTGCTGTTTATGGGCTTCATATATTGTGTTCCATTCAATAGCCCTATGCAGTACTACGCTACTTCTTTCCCCACAATGTGCCAAAATCTTTGGTAGAATATTGCCCCGAGACCATTCTTTCCTGATGATTTGAGAGGACTCATTAGTTTCATTGCACTTGTGAATTCTTCAACAGTAAACAGTTTGCACAACTTAGCGTTACTTTCCTTAGTTATGCAAGGTTCAGCTCCACTTAATAATGCTTAATCCGTCTCTTCGAATTGTGTAGTGAACAGATCTGAAAAATATCTTCCTGCTAAATCTTGAATAACTGATTCATATTCGTATTGATCTCCTATTTGATTCTCTAAATTTTTAATTATATTCTGCTTCTTTCGTTGGTTTGCATAACGGTGGAAGAAATGTGTGTTGTTATCTCCTCTTTTTAGCCAATTGGCCCTTACCCTCTGTACTCAATAGAATTCATCCTTGTCAATTTCCATGTTCAGATAAAGTTTTATTTCCATTATTTCACCTAGATTCTCCTCCGTTGGGTCCAATTCTAGCAGCTCGTTCAGTTTTTGTTGGAAGACTCGTTCTATTAAACCCTTTTTTCCTCATTTTCTCTTGAAACCACTTATCAAGACCTATTTGTATGCGCTCGAGTTTTTCTGGAACAGTACCTGGTTGTGCTGTCCAAATATATTCCCCTTCTTTCATACATGAGTCTTCTAATAGCCAAGATGCCTCAAATATAAAGTGTCAGCTTCGCTTGTTTGAATGTTCGTCTGATGGAGTTAGTAACAGTGGACGGTGATCCGAGAATGAGTGTGTTAGATTAGATAAAGTATTACCGTTGAATAGGTTAATCCAAGCCATGTCTGTCACTCCTCTATCTACTCATTCGCGAATGTTATTATCTGTTTGTTTTTCCTTCTCCCATGTGTACCAACTTCCGTTGAACTCGATATCTACCATGCAGCAGTCTTCAAGGTTTTGTCTGAATTCTAGCATTTGTCATTCGTTGCGCTCTAATCCCCTTTATTTTTCGTGGGAGTATAGGATTTCATTGAAATCTCTCATTATCAATCATGGTTCATTCGGGTTGTCGTTCAGTTGTCGCATTAGGTTCTAAGATTCCCTTCTTCTGTGTTCTTCTGGTGCTCTATAAAATCCTGTGAATCTCCAATTAGGTTCTTTTTCACCTTTCTGGATTGTTACGTCTATATGAGAACTTGATTAAGATCGTACTGTGATTTTTACTTCATCATTCCATGCGATACATAAGCCTCCGTTGCTTCTTTGCAATTCTACTTATATTACTTTGCTAAAACCCAATCTTCTTCTAACTCGTATCATTCTAGTGTTCTGTAATTTTGTTTCTATCAAGAAAATTACAGATGGATTAATATCTCTCAACATGTGTCGGAGACAGTCTACCGTTTGAGGATTTCCCAAGCCCCGAAAGTTCCAGCTTAGAAGTTTCATTGCGTATCTTTTCTTTGTCATTCGGGGAATCGTGCCTTGTTGAGCTTGAAACCTTTGAATGGATGTTTCTTTACCTCTTTATGCCTTCTCCTTTTTCCATAGATGATTTTTCTTCTGCGTCGATCATTATTATCTCAGAGGCTAAGTTCGGTCATGTCTTTATATCATTTATCGTGTACATTTGTTTTAGTATTGGGTTTATCCAACTTATTTGCCCTATCCCTGCTAGATTCCTGTTTTGAATCGGTTTGATATCAATATTTATCGTTCTTCCTACTAGTTTTGTTGGTGAGTTTGAGTCTTATTCCCTTAGCCAAGGGATGGTGTGGACAGACCTTTGACTGGGGGGTGCTTTAAGCGAAGCATCCCATAAGGGTAATAGGTCCTTATGATGTGTTAATCGTAGTGGACAAAATCCTTCTCCATGGCCTAGCCACAGAGGTAGCAAAATAGCTTTAGTTTTTTGTACTGGAAGGTTGTGTATGTAAACTACCTATTAGCTAACACCAGTTTTTTCCTTCTTTTTAATGGGAGCTGTACATCAAGATGAATACGGACTCTTATACTTCCTCGGTATCCCAATGTCACCATTGTCGCATCATAAGCCAGGAACTTACCAATAAAATTTTTGATTTGTTTGGCTATTTGTTCTTATATATATATCCCACTGGTAACTCGTTTATTTGAATCCAAAAATCCACGAAGTGGAGAGGTACTGTCATGGGATCGTCTTATTCTTGAACCCTGTGAAAAAAAAATATATGAGAATTTAAATACCACGGCCCTTCACTTTCGATTCTGTCCGCATCTACTTCATTATAAAGTCTAAATAGAAAATGACCTTCTCCAAGTTCCGTGATTAAGATGCCTCCTATTGGATGCCAAACGTTTGCCATCATAGAACACATTGCTGGACAATTTATCATGCCAGACGTTAGGTAGAAACCAACGAAACAGTATTGTATCGATATCCCCTTTTCTGTTCCTTGTTAATCGATAAATATTACTTCTTCTTCATCTTCCTGTAAGTTTAATTCTTCCATTGTTTGCTCCAGATCTCCCATGCTTGTTGGATAGGTTTTGACTACACCAGATTGTTTACTACGTCTTTGGGTTTTCTGAAGAACTCGAAAAAAATCAAGGCAAAACCTTAATTACAGCCAGTCGGGCTAGAGAATAAAGGCAATAACCCTAGATAAAAATCTACCTCACCTATTTCTTTGAAATACATATAACCTTCTACTCCTCTTGAGTTTATAGAGATTTCTATCTTAAATTGACTTTTGAGGTAAAAAATCGAACATGATCCAATTCGATATAAATATATATTTTTAAAAAAGTAAACTACATGATTGATCATTGTTATAAATTAGAAATAATTAGATAAACTCATTGTTCAATGACATATTTGATATTTTAGCAGTAGTTTAGGGGTAAAACTAAATATTAATCTTTTTATTAATGTTAGTGGCCAATTTGTTACTTTTAAAATTTTAGTGGGAAAAATGAAAACTTGCTCAAATATAAGGGACTATTTGAATTAAATGAAAACGGCACACATCTTAATTAAATAAAAATGAAAGTAATTAAATATTATAATTTTTAATTCAGTGAGAAAAAGTATACGAAACTTAAATGAAAATGATCAATCTTGTAGTTTACCCTTAAAAAATATTTCACTGATAATATATGTATATATATATATATATAATTATTATTATAATTATCTCTAAATACATCAGAGATAATTTACTATTTTTCAAGTTTGGTTTTTATTATCTTAAATT